GTGAGTGGATTGCCTGAGCCCGCGGGTTCGAGACCCGCCTGGGCAGCGAGACCTCATCTCTACAATAAATCAAAAAATCAGCCGGGTGTGGTAGCGCACGCCTGTAATTCCGGCTACTTGGAAGGCTGAGGCGGAAGGATCGCGGAGCCCAGCAGACGAGGCTGTGGTGGCCGGGAGCGGCCACTGCACTCCAGTCTCAGTGACAGAGTGAGACTCCAGCTCAAAAAAAAAATACAAAAGGGCTGAGCACAGTAGCTCACACCTGTAATCCCAGCACCTTGGGAGGCTGAGGTGAGAGAATTGCCTGAGCCCATGGGTTCGAGACCAGTCTGGGCAACTTGATAAGACCTCATCTCTACAATAAATCAAAAAATTAGCCAGGCGTGGTGGCACATGCCTGTAGTTCCAGTTACTTGAAAGACTGAGGTGGAAGGATCACCTGAGCCCAGAAGATTGAGGCTGCAGTGGCCGTTAGCATGCCACTGCCCTCCAACCTGGGCAACTGAGTAAGACTGCAACTCAAAAAAAAAAAAGACAAAAGGATCGGGCATGACAGCTCATGTCTGTAATCCCAGCACTTTGAGAGGCTGAAGTGGGAGGATGGCTTGAGGTCAGGAGTTAAAGACCATCCTGGTCAACACAGTGAGACCTTGACTCTACAAAATAGCCAAAAAATTAGCCAGGTGCAGTGGCACACACTTATAGTCCCAGCTACTCAGGAGGCGGAGGCAGGAGGATCTCCTGAGTCAGGAGGTCGAGACTGTGGTGGCCATGATCATGCTACTGCACTCCAGCCTGGGCAACAGAGGGAGACCCCGACACACACACACACACACAAAGACAAAAAGGATCAGTGCCATGTCGGGCCGTTGGCACGTCGTGTCATCCTGATGTTGTGTCCAGCCTGGAGACGGGTGGAGTCGAGCACCCCCGCTCACCTCATCTCTGCCTCCCTTCAGGTACTGCTCGCCGATGAGGGGGTAGCCCCTCTCCCCACTGCAGAACCAGCGAAAGAGGAGAAACTCCTGCTTGGAGAAGGGCTGTCTCCTCTGCTTCCAGTCCAGTCCATCAAGGAGGAGGAAATCCAGGCTGGGGAGGCAGTGCCGCTCCTGGCAAGACCCATCAAAGTGGAGAGCCCGCCCCTGGCAGAGTGGCCCTCCCCGGCCCCGTCTCTCAAGGAGGAGTCGCCTCACTCCTGGGAGGACTCGTCCCAGTCCCCCACCCCCAGGCCCAAGAAGCCCCACGGCGGGCTCAAGTCCCCAGCCCGGCGTGTCTCAGAAATGCTTGTGATCCAACGCAGGGAGAGGAGGGAGAAGAGCCGGTCTCGAAGGAAGCAGCACCTCCTGCCTCCCTGCCTGGACGAGCCAGAGCTGCTCTTCTCAGAGGGTCCCGGCCCGTCCCGACGGGCCGCTGCGCCCCCTCTCCCGGCCGGCCCTTCCGAGTCTGCCTCCCAGCTCGGCTACTCCCAGGAGGAGGGGGGGCCTTTCAAGACGCCCGTTAAGGAGATGCCGCCCATCTCCTCCACCCCGAGCAAGTCTGTCCTCCCCAGAACCCCTGAGTCCTGGAGGCTCACGCCCCCGGCCAAAGTGGGGGGGCTGGACTTCAGCCCAGTACGAACCCCCCAGGGAGCCTTCGGCCCCCTGCCCGACTCCCTGGGGCTTGGCGACCTCAGCACCACCCCGCTGAAAAGCGTTCCCCTCTTTGACTCGCCTCGAGAGCTCCTCAATGCAGAGCCCTTCGACCTCACCTCTGACCCCTTTGGCGGCTCCCCGCCCTCGGACGTGGAAGTCCCCAAGCCGGGCTCCCCGGAGCCCCAGGGGCCTGGCCTTTCCGCCAACCGCTCCCTGACAGAAGGCCTGGTGCTGGACACCATGAACGACAGCCTCAGCAAGATCCTGCTGGACATTAGCTTCCCAGGCCTGGAGGAGGACCTGCTGGGTCCCGACGGTGTCAGCTGGTCCCAGTTCATTCCTGAACTGCGGTAGGCCCAGGCCTGTGCCCCACGCCAGGCGCTCCTGGGCTGGGCGGCCCTTGGCTCAGTGTCCCCAGGCCTCTGCGCCAGGACCGCCGGCGGGGACCATTCCGGCCCTCTCAGCTCCCCTCCTGGCGACGCCACGGAAGCATGGCGCCCTGGCTGCGGCTGGGCCCTCTGCGGGTTGCTCTACTCTCCCCGCTGGGAGCTGAAACGTGGGACCTGCAAAGAGAATGGCGAGAAGAGATTAGGAATCCCCGGCCTGGTTCCCTTCTGACCCGGCCGTCTCGCCTTCCCTGGCCTTGCAGGGTGGCCCTCGTCAGTACCGTCGGCTCTCCAAAGCATCCTCTCATGATAAATGTCAGCTTATTTCTTGAGCTTGTTACCTAGGGACTGCCAGAGGTGGGGTGGGGTGACCAGGGATTCCACTTTGCTTCTGTTCCCGGCTTTGAGTTCCTAAGCAGGGGAGGGCCTGCCACGCACGGTTTCTTCCCGGCCGAGGTTCCAGGGTCGAGGGCTCCTTAGTGCAGCCACACGGACACAGGCTGGTCGTGTCCTCATTCCCCACCCTCCCCTGTTCCCGAGCTTCCTGGTCAGCTGTCCTGCAAGAAGAAAAACTGGTTCCAAAGGCCTTTTGTCTGGGTCAGTGGGGGCAGGGGTTGGGTGCGTCTGAAGCAAAGAGTCAGTGCCCAGAGGTGCCCCTTGAAGACGTTTCTAAGATAATGTCCCTAATCATGCCAGGCAGACTAGCACTGACGAGAACTCGAGGCTTGAGAAGGCTGCAAGAGCCCCAGCCTGCCTGACTTCCTCAGCCTGGCCCTCAGCTTTGCAAAGAGCCACCCTCAGGCCCAGCTGACCGCCAGGATGTAGTCCAGCTCAAGACACTACTGTAACTGCCTGCTCAATAAAACCCGGGTTGGAAATGCTGCTCCCTGTGGTTTGTGGGTGTCTAGTCGCTGAGGCCCGGGGGAGCTGGAAGAGGCTGGCGATGACAGAGACGGTGGTGACGGGGGAGAGGGAGGTCTGCCCCAAGTAGCCCCGGAAGGAGCAAGTATCTCCCCTACCCCATGCACAAATCACCTGTTCTAGACCGGACGAGGTGGCTCAAACCTGTAATCCTAGCACTCTGGGAAACCAAGGCGAGAGGATTGCCTGAGTCCAAGGGTTCGAGACCAGCCTGGGCAGCTTGGTGAGATCTCACCTGCAATAAAAAAAAAAGCTGGGTGTGGTGGCTTGTGCCTGTAGTTCCAGCTACTCGGAAGGCTGAGGTGGAAGCATCTCGTGAGCCCAGCAGGTGAAGGCCGCAGTGACCATGAGCGTGCCTCTGCACTCCAGCCTGAAACTCCGACTCAAAAAAAGCAAACCAAAAAAACCAACAAATCCCAGTGCACATCCTGCACAGCCAACTTCTTTTCTCTGTCGTCTCCATCCTCATCCTTTGGGGCCTCTGGACCTGCTGGGTAACTTAGGCCTTTGGGGGTTTCTCAGTAGGAGAAAAGCCTACGAGGAATAGGCTCTCCAGAACAGACAGGAGAGTGGGCCCCGTTACAGGTGCCTAGTCCTACCTCTCCCCTACCCCAAGGGCTGGGAGCCAGCCGGCCCCGCTTGCATCTCCCTGGAAGCAGCTCTCTTATTTTCTGCAGCCAGAACTTAGGAGAGAATCCTATCCTGGGGGAGGGTTCTGAAAGGCAGCCAGGGGCCCAAGGGACCAAAGAGCCTCCAGGGACAAGCAAGGCCTCCTCCCTGCTTCACTGCTCAGGCAGCATCACCATAGCAACCCAAGCAGCAAACAATGGAGCCACAAAGGGCTTCCCCACAAAGTCGCCCTCCTGGCTCTGGAGCCCAGGAGGACAATGGCCGGTCACCTGCAAAGATCACTCCGAGGGCCGAGCCATGCATCTCGTGTCAAAGAACCTTTCCTACAGGTAGGGAGTGAGCCATCACCACTGGGCTATAGGCTGTACCCCCTGGGGTGGGCCATCCTTTCTCCTGGACAGCGGACTTCCTGGCCCATAAGCCCTCCACACTGTGGCCATGGAGTTAAGAAAAGAGAGGAGATGCCTGGTTTGCACGTGTCTCCCAGACGCACCCATGGGTGGTCTTGTGGAAATGACTTAGAAGACCGGGCTTAAGAAACAGGTGGAGGCCAGGCTCGGTGGCTCAGCCTGTCATCCCGCGCCTTGGGAGGCCGAGGTGAGTGAATTGTCTGAACCTGCAGGTTCGAGACCCGCATGGGCAACTTGGAGAGACCTCATCTCTACAATAAAAATCAAAAAAATTAGCCAGGCGTGGTAGCGCACGCCTGTAGTTCCAGCTACTCGGAAGGCTGAGGCGGAAGGATCGCCGGAGCCCAGCAGGTCGAGGCTGCGGTGGCCGGGAGCGGCCACTGCACTCCAGTCTGGGTGACTGAGCGAGACTCCAACTCAAAACAATAAAAAATAAAAAAAAGAAACACGTGGGTTTTTGGAATCCGAAAAATTACAGGGGTGGATTGGAGGGAGAAGCGTTTTGAGAGAGACATGCAGGCCGGGCGTGGTGGCTTACACCTGTAACACCTGTGATATCAGCACATTGGGAGGCTGAAGCAGGAGGATTGCTTGAGCCCAGGAATTTGAGACCAGCCTGGACAACATAATAAGACTGCATTTCAAAATAAAAAAATTATCCAGGCGTGGTGGTGTGTACCTGTAGTCTTAGCAACTTGGGAGGCTGAGGCAGAAGGATCGCCTGAGCCCAGGAGGTCAAGGCTGCAGTGAGCCATGATCATGCCACTGCACTCCATCCTGGGCAACAGAGTGAACTCCAGTTGGAAGGAAAAAAGAGAGAGAGAGAGAGAAATGTTTTTGTCACGGCCAGTCACCGTTCTAGGTAAGGCCATTCCGCACAGCGTAGTATCCAGGTAGGAACACAGAAGGCTTACGTCCCAGCTGTCACACGCTCGGCACCCTGCACGAGTTACCCACCCTCCCTGTGTCTTGCTTTCTACATCTTTGAGGTGGAACTAATAGCTCTACCTGCCCGAGGAGCTGTGAGGTTAACCGAGATGTTCATGAGTGTTTGGGACAGTGTCAGTATATATTTGCTGCTGTTTATTTCATGCTGGTCAGTGTGCAAAAAAGGAGCATTCTAGACGCTTTCTGTATTTGCCTTTTTTTTTTTTTTTTTTTTTTTGAGTCGGAGTCTCACTCCGTCGCCCAGACTGGAGTGCAGTGGCCGCTCCCGGCCACCGCAGCCTCGACCTGCTGGGCTCCGGCGATCCTTCCGCCTCAGCCTTCCGAGTAGCCGGAATTACAGGCACGCACTACCACGCCTGGCTGATTTTTTGATTTATTGTAGAGATGAGGTCTCGTTGCCCAGGCGGGTCTCGAACCCGCGGGCTCAGGCAATCCACTCACCTCAGCCTCCCAAAGGCGCGGGATTACAGGCTGAGCCACCGAGCCCAGCTTTGTATTTGCCTTTTAATGACAGCATCCAGGATGAAACAACTCCTAACCTGTTTTCTGGAGAAAGACTCTCCGCCAGGAGCGAGCAAAGAGGGGTTTCTACGCTTGACTCGGTATGGGGGCGTTTCCCTTCGTGATTTCTTCAGGCCTGATGTGCCCTCTAAAAGAGCACCAGTTCCAGCCAGGCACGGTGACTCACGCCCATAATCCCAGCACTTTGGGAGGTGGAGGCAAGAGGATTGCATGAGCCCAGGGGCTGAAGACTAGCCCGGGCAACTTGGCAACACCTTAGCTCTACAATAAATCAAAAAATCAGCCTGGCATGGTGGCGCACGCCTGTAGTCCCAGCTACTTGGAAGACAGAGGGAGAAGAATCACCTGAGGTCGGCAGGTCGAGGCTGTGGTGGCCGTGATTGTGCCACCCCACTGTGCTCCAGCCTGGGTGACAGAGTGAGACTCTGACTCAAAAAAAAGAAAAAAAAAGCACCAGTTCCTGGGCAGAATATGGGGACACCAGAATGGACAGGGGGTGAGGGGAAAGACAGAAAGTTGAGCACAGAAGGTAGAAAATCAAAGCCAGAGTATGGTCAAGAGCACAAAAGCTGAGGGGCCACGAGAAAGACAGAGCAGCCATGCCTTCTCCTTGCCAGGGTGGGGACGGAGAAACGGGGCCCTGCCAGGCTATCAGTGTCCCCGTGAGAATCCTGGGTGGGAGAAGGCTAGCCCTTTGTTTTGTTTTGTTTTGTGTTTTTTGAGTTGAAGTCTCACTCTGGCGCCTAGGCTGGAGTGCAATGACCCAATCACAGCTCACTGCAGCCTACGCCTCCTGGGCTCAGGCAATCTTCCGTTTCGGCCTCCCGAGTAACTGGGACTACAAGTGTGCACCACTGAACCCGGCTAACTTCTTTTTATTTTTTGTAGAGACAAGGTCTCACTAGGTTGCCCAGGCCGGTCTTGAACTCCTGACCTCAAGCGATCCTCCCGCCTCAGCCTCCCAAAGTGTCGGGATCACAGGCGTAAGCCACTGCGCCTGGCCTGGCGGCTTTTTTTTCTCTGTGACTGTGCTTGGGAAGGGGTGCGGAGGGCCTCACCCCTCTCCCTGCACCCCTGCCTGCATGACCATCCCAGACTGCCTTCTGTGCCTCCCTAGACGGTCCATGCCAGGGAGTCCCTCCCGGCCTCCCCGACGTGGGCTCAGCGTGAGTTCCTGCTCCCCGCCGAGTCCTGGGCGCTCCCTGGCTTCACCCCGCGCGTCTACCACCAGCTGGCCCTGAAGCTGCCCCCCAGCACAGACCTGAAGTCCAAGGTGCGCCAGAGGCTTCTCCGCCAGTGGAAGGGCACCGCCCAGCACACCTGGGGTTTCCACACGTGGCTCGACGTGGGGCGCCTGCCGGCCACCTTCCCCAAGCACCCGAACAGGCCCTACGACAGCAACGTCTGGCGCTGGCTGACCGACCCCCGTGCCCACGGCCGTCCCCCAGCGGAGCCCCCGGTGCCCCCACCCTCCCGGCTGGGGCAGAACAACTTCCTGGCTTTCATCGGCTGCAGCCCCATCTTCGTGGACACAGACAGGAAGAACCAGGTGCTCCTCAGGTTGGCGGAGGAGCTGAAGGCAGGGGAGAAGCTCAGGCTGCGGAGTGAGGCCAGGGCTCCTCCGCTCGACGCCCACGGCCGCATCTTGCCCCCCGCGAGCTTCAGGAAGTAAGATGAGCTCCTGGGAGCTCGCCCAGCCTGCCCTGTCCAGGTGACCCCTCCCTCTCTCTCTGGCTCCTGTTTCCGGTTTTGGGGCTGTGACCTCCTCACATCTGGTCATTGAAAACCAAACTCTCAGCCGGGCGTGGTGGCTCACGCCTATAATCCCAGCACTTTGGGAGGCTGAGGCGAGAGGATTGCCTGAGCTCAGGGACACCTTGGCGAGACCTCCTCTCGACCATAAATTTTTAAAAATTAGCCGAAGCTGGGCTCGGTGGCTCAGCCTGTAATCCCGTGCTTTGGGAGGCTGAGGTGAGTGGATTGCCTGACCCCGCGGGTTCGAGACCCCCCTGGGCAACTTGGCGAGACCTCATCTCTACAATAAATCAAAAAATTAGCCAGGCGTGGTACCGCGCGCCTGTAGTTCCAGCTACTTGGAAAGTTGAGGTGGAAGGATTGCCAGAACCTAGCAGGTCGAGGCTGCGGTGGCCGGGAGCGGCCACTGCCCTCCAGCCTGGGCGTCAGAGTGAGACTCCAACTCAAAAAAAAAATAATAATAAAAATAATTCAGTGAAACCCCAAACTCTCTTTTCTGAGTGCAGCTGGAAGAATAGAGTGCGAGGAGGCACTGAATTATTTAACTGAAATGTAGAGGCCGAGTGTGATGGCTCATGTCTGTAATCCCAGAACTTTGGGAGGCCAAGGTGGGAAGATTGCTTGAACCCGGGAGTTGGAGGCCAGCCTAGGCAACATTGTGAGGCTTTGTCTCTAAATAAAATAAAAATTTTAAAAATTAGTAGGACGTGGTAGTCCCAGCTACTCAGGAGACTGAGGCAGAAGAATCGCCTGAGCTCAGTCCAGGAGGCTAGGACTGTGGTGAATGTGATTGTAGCACTGAACCCCAGCCTGGGCAACAGAGTGAGACCCTCAAAAAAAAAAAAAAAAGTCAGTAGTGTTAATGCTCTAAGCCTTCATGTCCACTCACCATTTATTCACTGACTCACCCAGGGAAACTTCAAGCCCTGCAAGCTCCGTTCATGACAAGTGTCCCACACAGATGTACCATTTATTTGTTTGAGTTGGAGTTTCACGCTGTCGCCCAGGTTGGAGTGCAGTGGTACGCACACGGCCACCCCAGCCTCGACCTGCTGGGTTCAGGCCATCCGTCTACCTCAGCCTTCCAAGTAGCTGGAACTACAGGCACGCGCCACCATGCCTGGCTTATTATTTTGATTTATTGTAGAGACGAAGTCTCACCAAGTTGCCCAGGCTGGTCTCGAACTCCTAGGCTCAGGCAATTCTCTCGCCTCCACCTCCCAAAGTGCTGGGATGACAGGCGTGAGCCATGACGCCCGACCTAAAAAATTGTTAAAAATGACTCCAGATCAGTCAGCAAGCAAGCAAGCCAGGGCACTAAGGACCCAGAAGGTTTCAGACGGAATGAGACGTAAGTGTGATCATGTTGGGAAAGTAGAACATTTACATATAAACCTAGAAAGTTCTGAATTCTGGAAGGCATGACAAAGATCTGGGGCACTGACTTAAATGACCCAGGGACAGCCTGTCCAGAGTTTCAAAAGCTCCCCAGGGTGATTCTGACAAGCAGCCAGACTGAAGCCCTCTGCATGACCCTATAGCAGCAAAACAGGGGACTGTCTGCTGATCCAGGTACAAAGCCTGTTGAACCGTATTCAACTGTGTGTTTTTTTGGTGTTTCTTAAATAGTAGGAATCTCACTCCGTTGCCCAGGCTGGAGTGCAGTGTCACGCTCACAGCCACCATAGCCTCGACCTGCTGGGCTCAGGCGATCCTTCTGCCTCAGCCTTCCAAGTAGCTGGAACTACAGGCATGAGCCACCACACCGGCTGTGTTTTTTTAAAAAAGGTCAATTTCCAGCTGGGTGCAGTGGCTCATGCCTATAATACCAGCAATTTGGGAGGCCGAGGTGAGAGGATTGCCTGAGCCCACGGGTTCGAAACCATCCCAGGCAACTTGGTGAGACCTCGTCTCTACAATAAATCATAAGGCCAGGTGCAGTGGCTCACGTCTATAATCCTAACACTTTGGGAGGCAGCCAAGGTGAGAAGATTGCTTGAGTCTAGGAGTTCAAGACTGGCCCGGGCAACATAGCCAGAACTTGTCTCCACAAAAATCAAAACATTAGCTGGGCATGGTGGCATATTCCTGGAGTCCCAGCTACTTGGGAGGCTGAGGCAGAAGGATCACCTGAGTCCAGTGGATGGCGGCTGTGGTGAGCCATGATTGTGCCACTGTACTCCAGTCTGGGCAATAGAGTGGGACCCCTGACTCAAGGAAAAAAAAAAAAGAGGCCGGGCTCGGAGGTTCAGCCTATAATCCCAGCGCTTTGGGAGGCCGAGGTGAGTGGATTGCCTGAGCCCGCGGG